ACATATATTCATTTGATATAAAAAGGATTAATTTGATTTAACTATCTTTTTTTATTAAGTAAATATTTATTTACTGTAAGTAAATGTTTACTTATATAATTTATATAATATTCAATATTACTTATATAATATTCAAAGAAATATATATTAAAATTTAATAAATATTTTTCAGTGTATGTTCTTTAGCTTTCTGAAAAAATATAAAAAGAATCTTTCTAAAGTCTTCAATTAATAGATGCCAGCGTGGCTGAAAAAACAATCCCATCGACCAAATGGAACGAAATGCACATTTCCGTCGCATATTTCGTCGCAATCCCTAATTCCAGTCACTTAGGTATTTCGTCCATAAATTACTGTTCAGTCTGTCTGGCTGTACTCGCGAAGAACAAGACCGAGGAGCCAGGAAGAGACACACAGGTGCTGTGTAGAGACCGGCGCGGGGGCCGAATGCACGCACGGTCTGCACCGACAAATTTCGACCGGCCGATCGTGGTTATCGTTTGATCCGGTCGCGAGATTGCGCTATTCCAACGCTTAATCCTCGTCGGTCGTCTCGATCCCGATGCGATGTCGGTAGCCCGATCCCGATCCCAAGGACCGAGATATTTGGCTGCGTATTCGGTGCGCGCGTTAGACCGTCTCTCAAATAAAGCAATCGCCAAGATCAGACAACAACGCGGCAGCGTTTGTCCCTTTATCCGCCTACCCTTCTTTTACGCAACCCTTCCCGTCTGATAACAAAAGTAGCCACTGGCTGCTGGCTGCAGTCGGGCTCTCCTTTGTCAGAAAACGAAGCCTGCTGACAGAGCGAAGGTGGTAGTCGACTCCGCAGAATTAATCGCCTTGGGGAATATTTACATTCTCGTCCAAAAGGACCCTATCCCATCGCCTGTCTCCATCTCACTTTTTCTCCCACGACAATCCCCGGATCTGGTATTCCTCCTCCTCCTTCTCCATCGTGGAGATCCTCGCGGTTAGATGCGATCATGAATCGGCGCTTCGCGATAATCGCTTATGCTAGTTTGATCTTATACACGG